CCCCACACGCCGTCCAGGGACACCTCCACGCGCCCATCACAGCGGCTCTGCCCATCCCGCAGCCGCAGGGCGTGGCGGAGACCTGGGCAGAGAGGCGGGGGCGTGGGAGGGGCTGGCAGGGGGCAGGGGCGGCACCCTCGGCCTGGAGAAGGGAGAGGACCGCCCCCCGCCCCAGCCCCGGCCACTCCCAGCCCCTCTGCCCATCGCTCTTGCTGACCCACCTGAGCAGACCACGGAGGCCGAGTTTCCCGGGGCACAGGCGGGGGCGCCCAGGGTGCTCACTGGGCAATTCCACAAATAGGGCTCTGTGCCCACGCAGTGAAACCTGTCGGGCCAGAGGGGAGCGCTTCCGTGCCCAAAGTGACCTCCTCGGGGCGCGGCCAGGGCACTGCCACAGTTGAGCTGGTGGCAGAGGACGGTGGCGTCTGCCAGGTCCCAGTGGGCGGCACAGAGGGGTGCCCAGGCCCCCTGAACCTGGAGCTCCACGCGCCCCTCACAGCTGCTGCTGCCGTTGACCAGCCGGAACCCTAGGGTGGGGGTGGGAGGGTTGAGGAAAGAGGGTGTCAGCATTGCTCCCGACCCTGCAGACCCTTCCTTAATGGAGGCTTCATTCAACACAGCCACTCCCACACTGGGGAAGGACAGCTGAGCGCAAGTAAACATCTCTGGGGAGTGACATCGCTGTCAATGGCAGATAGAGAACTCCAAGATGGAGCACCCTCCACTGCAGTGATGGTTAACCTGGGGAAACAGGCAAAATCAGCTCCTCCAGGAGCCTGACGTGCAAGCAGAAACAGGATCCCAATGAGCAGCGAAGTGGTGGGATGCTGCCTCCGTGCAGGCAGGAAGGGGAGACTGAGGCAGACCCGCTCTCTGCACAGCTGCTGCTTCCACTGACCCGCCAGGCCCCTGGAGCAGCAGAGCATCACGGCCTTGCTCTCAGGCCCATCACTAGAACCTCAACCTACCCTGCACCCTGGAATTGGGAAGGAAAGCCCGAGACATGGCAGAGGAGGGAACCCCCAAACTGCACCTCTCCTCTAAGTAATGTTTAGGCTTATTCAGGGACATGGAAGCATGCCACACACTGATAAATCTCAGAGAGAAGTGGGGAGGGGGGCGCACGGGGAGAGATTAACCAAAGAACTTATATGCATAACCCATGGACACAGACAATCGTGGGGTGACGGCCTGGGGAGGGGATGGGAGCGGGGGGAGGGGGGTCAATGGGCGGGGGAAGGGGGACTCTGTAATACTTTCAACAATAAAGATGAAGTTTGAAACACAAATAAATAATGTTTAGGCTTGTAAAACTGTCATAACCAACTTTTTTGAAACTCTAGCATCTAATCAAAAACTTACAAGAACTAAGAAACACTTAATGAAGCAAAAACTTGGCAAGTCTGGCTCTGGCAGGCAGGAAGGAATGCTAAGGCAGAGTTGAAAAAATGGCCTGCCCCAGCCTTGAAGCTATGCTCCAACAAAGAGCTAATATGCAAAGACTGGACGAATCTTATGTTTTATTTGTTTTGCATTTAAGAAAATCTCTGTCAAATTGCTATCACCACTAAGATAACAAAAAAATAAAATAAAATGAAAAGAGACCTCATTGGTCACACACGAGAAAGAGTAGAGTCTTTACACCAAGAGTGTAAAAAGTCACTTAACAAACAACTATGACCCACAGCAATTAGCAGCAACAAACAGTGGGTGGGAGAATCTGATTTTTAAAGTGACCATACTATAGTAATTTAGCAATGTCTCCTTCATGCAAAGTATCAAGAAACTATGACACATTCACATGGAAAAAAAAAAACAGAAACTGTCCCTGAGGAAACGAAATCATTACACTTACTAGAGAAAGACCTTACATAAGTGTCTTAAATGTGCTCAAAGAGCTGAAGAAAACCAGTTTTTTTAAAAATATATTTTATTGATTTTTTACAGAGAGGAAGGGAGAGGGAGGGATAGAGAGTTAGAAACATCGATGAGAGAGAAACATCGATCAGCTGCCTCCGGCACACCCCTCACTGGGAATGTGCCCATAACCAAGGTACATGCCCTTGACCGGAATCGAACCCGGGAACCTTTCAGTCCACAGGCCGATGCTCTATCCACTGAGCCAAACTGGTTAGGGCTGAAGAAAACCAGTTTAATGAAATCTCATGACATAGGGAATTTCAATAAAGAGATATCAATTATTTTAAAAGGAACTAAAGAGAATTTATTGACTTTAAAAATAAAATCAATGGAGCCTGGCTGGTGTGGCTCAGTGGTTGAGCATCTACCGATGAACCAGGAGGTTACCACTGATTCCGGGACAGGGTACATACCTGGGTTGTAGGCCTGATCCCCAGGGTGGGGCATGAAGGAGGCAGCCAATCGATGTTTCTCTCTCATCAATGTTTCTATCTCTCTCTCCCTCTCCCTTCTCTCTAAAAATCAATAAAAACATATTTTTTAAAAACTAAACAAAGCATGAGCATCTCAGTTGATGCAGAAAAAGCATCTGACAAAATCCAACAGATTCTCATGATAAAAACACTCAATGAACTAGGAAAAGAAGGAAAGATTCCTCAGCATGATAAAGGCTGTTTATGAAAAACCCGCAGCTAACATACTCAGTGGTGAGAAGCTGAAAACTCCCACCCCTCAGGTCAGCACTCCTTTCACCACTGCTGTTCCACATTATCTTGAAAGTTCCAGCCAGAACAATTAGACAAGAAAAGACGTAAAAGGCATTCAGATTGGAGAGGAGGAATAAACCTGTCTGCTGAGGTTCATAGTGCTCAGGGCCTGAAAGACATGATCTCTACAGAAAATCCTACAGACTCCACATTGAACGATTAAAGCTAATACATTCAGGGAAGTTGAGGGCACAGGATCAATACACAAACTTTAGTTGTATTGGCTATATACTGGCAACAAACAATCCGAAAGGAAAATAAGAGACAATTCCCTTTACAATTACATAAAAACTTACTTTCCCCTGAGCACCTGAGCCCAGCGTCCTGGCCATGCCCACACTGGTGCCCAGGCGCCCGAGGGCAGTGGAACAGCAGGGACTCGTTGCCCGCACAGCGGAAGGCCTCCGTCCACACGGACCCAGAGCCCTGGCCGAAGTGCGCGCCCGGGGGTGTGGACGCGGCCATGCCACACTGCAGCTCCCGACACACCACGTGGGCTGTGGCCTGGTCCAGGTCCTCATCGCAGACGGTGCCCCAGGTCAGGCCACGCCTCACCTCCAGGCGCCCAGCACAGGGGTGCTCGCCGCCCGCCAGCCGGGCCTCAGTGTGTCCTGGGGGCAGACACTGGGCTGAAACAGCCCCTCAGGGGCAGGGCAGGAGCTTTGCAGGCCTTCCTGCCCTCCAGTCCCATGGGGAGGAAGGACAGGAGGACCAGAACCACCTGGCTGGGCCCAGCCCTGAGGGGCACCGGGGTACGTGGGACCTGCAGGCGGGGAGGACCCTCCCGTCCCTCGGCATCTCACTCCTATTCCGACAGCAAACATTCACTTCCCACCCCCTGGGGCTCCACCAAGCCCGGGTTAGTGAGCACAGCCCCCAGGCCCATGACCCAAAGGGCCCAGGGCTGCGACGTCTGCCCCCGCCACACACACACACCCTCCCCTGACTTGGACTCTGTCTGGCCAGCACTTTAGTCACCTGGTCAGTTTAAACCCCAGCACTAGCTGCACCCAGTACCTCCCAGGGCAGGGATGCAGGCTGGTGGCAGGGCGTGGACAATCCCCCACCCCCCACCCCGCCTCTCTAGTCAGTGGATGTCCCCCGAACACAGCTATGAAAGGATGCCTCCCTCACAGACCGCGCGTCCTTACCTGAACACACGACCGGCACATCTGTCGGCAGGCTGCACTGGTCCTGAACGTTCAGATTGAACCTGCAGTTGAAGATGCTGGACTCTGTTCCCCGGCAGGTCACGACCTTAGGTCCCCAGCCCCCAGAGGCCCCGGTGAGGTGGGGTCTGGACGCCTGGAGCACGGGGCCACACCCCAGACTCCTGCAGAAGACACTCGCCTCCTCCACGTGCAAACCGCACGTCATACCGGAGCTTCCAGGCAATCTGATCTCAAAGGTCCCCGTGCAGGGGCTGCCTCCGCCGCTGAGCCCCACTTTCGCCAGCTTCCCGCCTGCAGAGGCACAGGAGCCCGCCTGCTGCTCACCTGAGCCCCACTGGCCTGGGGCGCGCACCCCACTCTGCACACAGTGGCTCCCGGACAGAGGGTTTGGCATCTGGGGAGGCAGAGCCCTGGGTTTCTCTGCAGAGGCAATTCTTTCCCGCCCAGGATCCCTCAGGGGGGCGGCTGCTCCCCCTCCTGCTGCCCGAAGGCCTCCAACAGGGGACAGCCGGACTGAGCTCCAAGCACTCCAGCTTCTGGGACTTGGGCGCCCTGGGAGCCCCGCCAGAGCAGAGGGGCCAGTGGGAGAGGGAAACAGGCTCCCTTTACTCTCGTGTGGTCCCCCTGGGGCCCAATGCTTGACCATTGGCGGGAGGAGGCAAATGAACCCCGAAAGGGCTGCCCTGGGTGTGCAACCCGCAGCTGGGAAGCACAGTGCTCCCCACCTGGGCCGTCCTGGGCCCTGCTCCTGTGGGGCCAGGACAATGCCATGAGGGCCTGAGGGTCACAGTCCTGGGTCCTGGGCTTTCCACCCGGGGGCTGCCTCCGACATGCCCCCTCCTCACCAGGGCCTCCTACCTGTGCAGTGGACCGCACCGATGCACTCACACGCACAGCCCTCCGGCTTCTCCCACGACCCCGGGGCGCAGTCCCAGAGCGAGGCCTCCGAGCCCTGGCACCTCACGCCCTGCAGCAAGGAGGGCTGCCTCTCCTGGGGCCACATCACGTATGTGGGCGCCACGTGGGCCCCGCCGCAGTCCAGCTGCCTGCAGACGACCGCCGCCTCCTGCAGGCCCCAGTGGTCCCCACACACGGGGCCCCGCAGGCCGCCGAGCTGGACCCGCACCAGGCCCTCGCAGCGGTTCCCGCCTCTCAGCAGGGCCACGGACTCTGCCTCGGGGCCTTGGGACAGAACACAGGGAGGTGGACATCGTGCGTGGCCCGCTCGAGAACTTTTTGTCCAGAATTTTCAAAAATTTGAAATCGAATTTTCGCCTTCCCTCCTAATCTGTACCCTTCACTTCAATTTCCGCGTTTGCTCACGCTCGGTGTAGATGACATTTACGAAAGAAAACGGTAACAAAAAGGAATGGCTAAGGACCACTTCCTGTGGCTTTTCCCACATGCACAGGTCATGATCGCTCGCCTGCAAAGGGCTGAGACAGCCCCCCCACCCCCAGGCCCTGGCCGAGCTCCCGGGATGCACACACCATGTGACAGTGTCCCCTCTCTTGACAGACCGTCCTCCGAGCCCCCAGCCCTCAGGACAGCAGCACTCACCCGCAGGGAGGGTCCAGCAGGCCAGGAGGAGGGGCCACAGCCTCAGAGGGGACGATGCCATCCCTGGGCACCTCTGTTGCTGAGCCCCCTCAGGCCCGGGAGGTGTGCTCCGCACCGGTGCAGGCGGTGGACTCCAGCTCAGCGCTGAGCCGTCTGAGAAGGAAGCCCGTGAGCCCCGCCCGCCTCCCCCGTATCAGTGTCATCAGCTGTCACGTGGAGCAGAGGCTCAGCCGCCAGGCCTGAGCCCAGGCAGCCCCGCAGCACGTGGCGAGGCCGGGGCTGGACCTCCTGCAGGGCCAGGTGTGAGACAGGCGGGCGAGCGACCACCTTGGAGCCAGGAGCCAGCGCCGTGGGAGACGCGCCTTTCTCTGCCTCACACGAAAGGCGTGTTGATGAACACGGATCGTTCAATGTGTCATCAGGACCCAGCAATTGGACCAAAGCCAGCAGGAACGTGCGTGACCTGCGACCGGCAGCAGGAAGGGAGGCAGACACCTGTCTGCGAGGAGGGAGTCCTGGAAGAGCAGCCTCGCGTCCAACCGGAGGAACAGCACTCACTGCAGACGCGTAGGGAGGAGGCTGGGAAGCCCTTTAACAGGCCGGTTGGACTAGTGCGTACGTAGCACATGTTTCAGGTGGGAAACACACAGGAAGCACGAATGTGCACCCGATGCATCGCTGTAGCTCATGCTTATGTCTGTGCCTCTGTTCAAAGAAAAGTTCTCAAAGGATACAAACCAAGGAGAGTGGATGCATTCATTTCGGAGTGAGAGAATCATGGTTTTCATTTTCTTTTTGTTTATTTTACTGTGCATGGTTGTGTGTGTGTGTGGGGGGGGAGGGCAGTTCATTTTCTTTCTTGGTTCCATGAGTTCTAAAATTTATAATCATGCCCTGGCCAGTTTGGCTCAGCGGATAGAGTGTTGGCCTGCGGACTGAAGGGTCCCAGGTTCCATTCCGGTCAAGGGCACATGCCTGGGTCACAGGTTCGATCCCCACTAGAGGGCATGCAGGAGGCAGCTGATCCATGATTCTCTCTCATCAATGATGTTTCTATCTCTTGCCCTCTCCCTTCCTCTCTGAAATCAATAAAGAGATATTTTAAAAAATTATAATCATGTGTATTATTTTCTAACCAGAATATCATCAGTGAAAGTTACTTTCCAAAAGATTTGCCAGAGAAGCAGTTTAAGAGAGGGCAGCTCGGTCCTCCTCCCCTTCCTGAGAGGGAGGAGGACCCTGTGGGCAGGACCCTCTGTGCTGAGGCTCCGCCCCTCCCACACCGCAGCCTGGCCAAGCACTTAGCCCAGCTCCCAGCTCGGACCTTGGGAACACCCAGCATGCACCCCGAGCCAGGCTGGCCACCTCTTGAGGCCGGAGGGAGGCTCCTGTGTGTGTGCACGGGGGTGCAGGGTGAGCTCAAACATCCAGGACACTCCTTCTTGTCCCCCAAGGCTCTGTCAGGAGCTGTTCCTGCCACATTCCCAGGGCCTGGCAACTAGCCTTCCTCACCCACTTCACCCCAGAGGCCCCGTCCAACCTCTGTGGACATCACCCCATCTCCTTCACCGGGCTTCCTGTCCAGAAGGGACTGACTTTCATCGTCTGCAGCATAGTGGTCCTGGAGACCACAAGCTGTGCCTCTCTCACAGCCCAGGGGGTGGGCACAGGGGGAGGACTGGGGGTGGGAGGCAGTGCTCAGAGAGAACCCCCAGCCGCTGGCCAGACCCTCAAGGGAACCCTGAGAGCTGGGCGGTAATCGCTGCCATCACTGGGAGACCCTATGATTAAACCTGGTCCTTCCCAAGACATTTACGTGGGAGAGTGAGTCAGCAGAGGTCAGATATGTGGTCATGTGTGAACCTATCCCAGACCCACACAGGGAAGAGGACACAGAGAAACACTTCCCACAGAGGGTCTCCCATGGCGCCGGCTCCTGTGAGGTGTGGTCAGGGAGGTGTGGTCAGGGAGGTGTGGTCACAAAGGGCTTGGTGGGTCATCAGGGCAGGACAGCTCTGGGTGCTGGGGACCCTGGCACAGCACCTGAGCCAGGGGGAGGGCTGTCTGCAGGCGAGAGTAGAGTGGCCAGGAGCTCATTCACAAGGAGCCCACCCCACACCCTGTAGAACCTTCGGACAAAAGGCTGTGGGTGAGGAGAGTTGAAAACACTCAGAGCCCATATCAGACCAGAGCGAGGCAGAGGGTTGGGGGGTCGAAAACAGAACCTGGGGAATATTCTGAGGTGAACGAATGGATGGATGCATGCGTTCAAAGGGAGTTTAATGGCATCTTTTTTAGAAATGAGGAACATGAGAGCCCCCAGGAGTCTTGCTGGTGTCCCTGATGGCCAGCTCCTGGGCATCGCATCCTGCAGCCGGGGCCACCGCGGTTTTCCGTCCCAGCCTGCACTCTGGGGCCCGGAGGGTGCGGAGTCCACCTGCACTTAAGGGGAGAGACATGCATGGTGTTCTCAGCAATTCCGCGGAGCCTCCAGGACGTCTGGGCCCTGGTTGGTCATTGCACCCCAAAGCCAGAGGGGCAGACAAGGGTGGACAGTGAGTGGGGGTGAGAGTAAAGCGGTGCTCACACGTGTCTCCTCCCGCCATCCGCTCCCCCCAAAGCTGGCTGGGAATAGGGTTCTGGAAGGACTCTGTGCACAGCCATGAAAAGAAGCCCAAATAAAAATCTAGGGCCCTCCCTCAACGCCACGTCTGCTCATAAGATTCCAGGGTAACAAGCAACTCTGAAGGGACAGCCGCGTATCAAAGCCCAAGCCGGACAGCAGTGAGAGTTACAGACACACAGAGAGGGGGCTCCTGGGATCTTTAAATGTAGGCGCTGGCCAGAGCAGAGCCGTGGACATAGGAGCAGTACAGCAGCACAAGCACAGCGGACGCCAAGGCGCACAGGTGCACACCCACGGAGCTCAGGGCCGTCCCCTCCTCAGGCTCCTCCTCGGGCTCCTCCTCCGGCTCCTCCTCCTGCTCCTCCTCCAGTTCCTCAGGGCCTGGCTCCGGCTCCCAGGCATCATCATAGTCCTCTTCCGGCACCAGGTCCCGGGGCACACTGGACCCTTCGACCTTCTCCCCCATGGGGACAGCTCCAATGTCCTCATAAACAGCTTCCGAGGGCCGAGTCCCCAGCATTCCAAAACCTGCAAAGGCCACACCCAAACCTGCAGTCCTGACACTGCTGCTGTCTAAGGCCACAGCTGCCGGCCCCCCGCAGGGTGGGACCCTTGACCCCTCAGCTCCTCCTGCCTCAGGAGCACAAGGAACACACACTTCTGTGGGCACCAAGACCAGAGAGCTCCCCAGCTATTCAGGTGACACAGGAATGGGGAACCCTCGAGCCTGTCCCACCCCAGGCAGCCCTAGGACTATGAATCTTCTCACCCAGCTCCTCTCAGAAGCAGAGCAGAGCCCAGCGCCCCCTGTCCCCGACAAGTCGTGGGTCACTGACAAGTCGTGGGTCACTGACAAGTCATCACAGGGGAGATCGGGTGGCACCCAGCGTGCAGGGCAGTGACCAGGACAGAGAGGGCCTGCAATAGGCTGGGATCGCAGAGTGTGCCCCCAGCCCTCCCAGCCCCAGGCCCTGTGTCACCCTCATAGGCCGTGCCTACCACCTACCCCTGCAGGCTCCTCTGCGGTACCACTGCACCCCCAGGATCAGGGAGACGCAGCCCAGGAGGGTGCCCAGAACGAAGCAGAAGATCATGGGCAGGGTCCCAGCCTTGAGGGAAGGCAGTGGGGCCAAGGCAGGGCCTGTAGGGACAGTGAGAGGTGGGTCTTCCCTGAGCGCTTGCACTGCCTGGGGAATTGTGACCTCTGGCCTGGACCACCTGAGTGGGGGGGGGAGGGGTACCCAGAGGAGAGATGGGCCTTGTCCGGCTCCTCCCCCAGAGTTGGCCCTGAGGGGGTCACCCAGCTCAGGGCCAAGGGGGAGGAAGCAGAGGGAGGGGCAGAGGGGCAGCTCCTCCGGTCCTGACAGCCACTGCCCTCACCTGTGCTTTGGACATAGCCACGTTTCTAAGAGGCCACAGCCACGAGGGCCAAAACCTCCAGCTGGCAAGGGAAAGACCCCAGAAGCAGCTGGGGCAGGGCCCAGGCCTGCTGTCCCTCCTCACGGCTCTCCACCCGGCTGGCGCAAGGACGGGCAGCCGTGTTCCTCCAACCACAGGGCGTCTCCGGCACTGTGGCCCTGCCCCCGAGGAGACCCCAGGGCGCCCCTCCTTGTAACCCCATTGCAAGCTCCTCTGGGTCAGGGTCAGACCGGTGGGTCAGGGTCAGACCGGAGGGTGTGGATTGAGGCCTGAGGAAGAGCACACCTACCTGATGCTGGTGGGAAGACCGTGGACGGGCCAGACCTTGGGGCGAGTAAGAAGAGGCGGCCACAGTCCTGAGGAGCCCAGGCCCTCTGAGCAGCGCCTGAGCCCCACTCAGCCTGAGCCTGTCATGTCTTTGAACCCCCACAGAGGCAGCCTGTGCCCCACCCCTCGGAGGGACCTAGCACAGGGGCCGCCTCGGGGCCATGGGAGCACCCACAGTGGGGGGACACGCCAGAGGAGCTCTCCTGAGACCCCCTTCCCAGCCCCTAACTACCCCCCCTTGCCTCCTGCCCACTCACGGGAGCAGCGCACGCCCGCGTCCTCCTTGTGCCCACAATCCGCACGTCCCCAAGGCTCCGCTGGGCAGCCCCACAGGGACGCCTCGCTGCCCCGGCACCCCACCTCGTCCAGCCACACAGGCCCTGAGCCTGGACCAAAGGCGGCCCCGGCCAGGGCGCTGATGGCCCTGCCACAGCCCAGCTGGCGGCACACGACCTCCGCGTCCGCCAGGTCCCAGGCATCGTCGCACACGGTGCCCCAGGAGCCCTCGTGCCAGAGCTCCACGCGGCCGGAGCAGCTGTCCTCGCCCCCGCGCACGCGCACGGAGCCTTCCTCTGGAAAAGGGGCTGTGGTCACTGCAGGGCGGGGCTGGGGTGCGGAGGGGCAGGCAGAGGGGCAGGGGAGTACCTGGGCAGCTGCGGGTGGCTGAGCAGTTGAGGGTCTCCCCGGGGTCCTGCGTCGTTTTCGCTGACAATCCTATTGGATTAAACAGGGGCCGTCCCAGAGTAAATGCCCTGAGAAGCTTCGGAATGAAGTCTGTGAAGCCCAAGCGATGCCCGGGCCCGCAGCCATGGGTCAGTGGCAGCCCCTGAGGGTGCCCAGTCCCGCCAGAGCCCGCCAGGGGCCCACCTGTACAGGCGATCCAGATCTCCTCTCCATGGGCACAGGAGCGCGGGTGCCACCGGGCTGAGGGGCACTGCCATAGCGTAGAGTTTTGCAGCCTGCGGCACTCAATGTTGTCCACCCAGGAGACGCCCAGGCCAGTGGGGACCGGCCTGTTCTCCAGCCAGCCCTGCTCCCCACAGCCCAGCTGCTTGCAAATGATGGACAAGGAGTTGTCCTTCAGGGAGTTACCGCACACGGCGCCCCACGTGCCGTTGTAGAACACCTCCAGCCACCCAGCACACTGTTGGGTGCCCCCTTGCAGCCTCAGGGCCACGAACTCTGCAAGACAAGAACAGTCAGGCCAGGGGAAGCTCTGAAGGAGGGGCCCCAGCACTGAGACCGATGCCGCTCAAGGCCATCGGACCAGAGAGGCCCTGGCATCGACCCCGCACCCCCACAGCCATCTCCCACCTAAGGAAGCAGCCAGCAGTTAAGCACAGGTCACCAGCGTGAAGCCCAAGTTGTAACGCCTTAGCAGGTGTGCCAGCTGATTGTCTAGAAACCCAACCTTGGAAATTATTTGAAATACAAAATAATATTTTTGCATAAGATGACCAATTTAGCAGTGACTATAAAAATTTAGAAAAAGAAAAAGAAAAAAGGAATTAGCCCGGAGCACTGGGACACAGCACCAGTCCAGGCTGGCCAGGGTCCATGGACCGTCACAATACCATTGGCCAGTGTAATTCCAACAGGGGGACTAAATATTGCCACATGTCAGAGTATTAGACAATCCTTTAAAATTGTTATGAGCGCCTATATACCTATATACCAGGGTCAATGAAGAAAGTTGGGTATGAATTGCATGTGACAGTCATAACTAAAATAGGCTTAGAGTAAACACGGGAAGGAAATACATCTGTGACACGTTACAGAAGTGGTCACAGAGATCTGCCTGTGTCCACGCTCCTTGCAATGAATGAGTCTATTCCCCACCCACCCAATCTGGCCTCCAGATTCTGGCCAACGGAGTGAGTGGACAAGAGTGACCGTGCTGTTCACGCCTGGGCCTCTTGCTGTGGAACCTGCTGCCAGGCTCGGTCCTATCAGAAACAGAGCGTCCCCCACCCCTGCCAAGCTGGTCCCCAGCGGCAGCAGCTTCCTGGGAGTCCACCAGTCAGAGGAAGAACTGTAAGGACATGAAAAACACAATGACAGCCTGGCCAGCGTGGCTCAGTGGTTGAGCATTGACCTATGAACCAGGAGGTCAATGGTTTTATTCCCAGTCAGGGCACATGCCTGGGTTGCAAGCTTGGTCCCCAGTAGGGGGCGTGCAGAAGGCAGCTGATCGAAGATCTCTCTCATCATTGATGTCTCTATCTCGCTCTCCCTCTCCCTGTCTCTCTCTCTGAAATAATAATTTTAAAAAAAGAAACAGAATGATTAAAATAGATGCAATCTTCTAAACATAGTTTAGGAAAACTTTCCTAAAGCAAAATAGGAACCAAAAGCAATAAGAAGAGATCACACTTGGACACCCAACCCCTCCCCAGGCGTCTCCAGGCTCACGCCCCCAATCAGTGGCAAAATTCTGTCCCTCAACCACCATCACACCCAGACAAGGACCCCATAAAGAGCCTCAGACGTGTGTGAGCTAAAAACCTTAAAGATACTCTGGAAAAAGCCCTGCAGCCCATTAAATACACACCCGAAGACGCTGGCACAGGGGACCCGGACGGAGTGTGAGGTGACCTTCTGAGGAGGGGGAAACCGCAGGCACCACAGGAGCAGGCGCCCCTCTCCGCCCCCACCACGCACCCCCCACCCCAGGCCCCGCCCGCCAACAGGGAAAGGTGTTGGTCCCGGAGCCGGAGGACACCGAGCATCCACTGTGGAGTTCTCCTTGCGGGGAAGAGCGGAGGCCCTGGACACCGGAGCGAGCCCGCAAAGAGCCAGTGCGCGCTGTTACCACGAAGACGCCACGACCCTCAGATACCCGCTGCCCAGAAAGAACTCAGATCCCGGGACTGACCTGAGCAGAAGACGCCGGCGTCCTCCTTGTGCCCGCAGTCGTGCTGGCCCCAGCCCCCCGACGGGCACTGCCACAGCGCAGACTCGTTGCCCTCGCAGCCCAGCTCGTCCATCCAGATGCGCCCGGACCCGGACCCGAAGTGCGCCGCCCCCAGGGCGCCCAGGGCGTGGCCGCAGCCCAGCTGCCCGCACACCACGTGCGCGTCCCGCAGGTCCCAGCCGTCATCGCACACCGTGCCCCACGCGCCCCCGTGCAGCACCTCCACGCGCCCCGCACAGCGGCCCGGCCCCGCGGCCAGGCGCACGCGGCGGCTCCCTGCGGAGACACCGGGTCAGCGCGGCCCCGGCTCCGGGCGGACGGAGGCGCGGGGCCGGGGCCGCACTCACCAGCGCACACCACGCCCGCGTCCCGCCAGGTCCCCGCCGGCACCAGCCGCGACGCGGACACGTTGCACTGGGCCAGGCGGGCCTCGGTGCCCAGACAGCGCACGCGGCTCAGCCCCACGCCGGGCCCCGCGCCCGGGGGCGGCCGCCTCGTAGGCCCGCTCCGCCTTCTCCGCACATGGTACGGCCCT